TGATGACTTTCCTTATCTCGAAAACCTTGGTATCCTTCAGCTTCACTGCATAAACTCTCCAAGGGCAGCCCTCTCCACAGCACTCAAGAACCATCAACCCTGGCTCCGATTTCCTACTCCTAAAACAAAACTTATTGTTTATAGCGTGTACGGCCATATACTGCTTGAACTCCTCCCTACTTCTGAAAATCATCCCTACTTCAACATCTCCATCATACTCACCAATTTCACCTGTAAAAATTACTGTTAGTTTCTTTTATTTTTGAGAGTTCCTCTAGATGTATACCAACCCGATTATCCCCCCAACAGCCTAATAATAATGTCATCTTCTTGAAAAAAATAACAAACACATTAGCTTGCTAATGTGTCGTAAATGATCAACATTTTCATTAGCACCATAACAACCTAAGTATACCACCATAATATAGGGACAATTTAAAGTGGTAGGATGATAACTCAATCATTGCCACGCTAACGACTCAGGAATACCAGAAAGCTAGGCACGAAGATTATTTTCAATGTTACGCATGTTCCCTTGTAGAATAATCTAACCAATAACATTTAGCACGTTAACATCTGCTAAAAAAAATCGAGGGGTAACATGCATATAACAATGTTTCTGTATATCTTTTTTTTTCCCCAAAAAAGGGTCCAATTGTTTTCAATAGCACGATAACAACTTAAGAATACCACTATAATAGACGGGGCCATATGAAATAGAAGGATGATAACTAAAGCATTAGCGCGCTAACAAGTCAAGAATACCCGAGGGTAAGGCACGAAAGACTATTTTTGCTGGATTACGCATGCCCTCTTATTTGCCTAAGATATCCAAAACAATTAGCATGTTAACAACTTCTACAAAATCGGGAGTGGGGGGGGGGGGTAGTTTCACATGTTATATCACAACGTTTGATTTCTATGTTAACGTCTTAAAAAGAAGAAAAGAAAAAAAAAAAAAGGATCCATCAATTCCGTTTACATGCTAACAACCTATGGATACCACGCTATCAGAGGTCCTACAGTTTGGTTGACTGATAACAAAATCTATACCACGCTAACAACTCACAAATACTCGAGGGGTTACCCTAAGTTTTTTTTTCAGTAGGCTGTATGATATGTTTTGTCCAACACCATAGTGGAGCCAGCCGCTGACTTTTTTCCTAAACATGTACAGACAACAATAGCACAAACAGGCTTGAAAATTAGACCTTGTACACCGAAGATTTTATCATACATTAGCCACTAAACATTTTTCAGGGTTCAAATACAGATCGTTTAGTACATTACAAAAACTTCCACTTAGCCGCCTACTTTTTGAAAAATCTAGGGAATACCCGAGGGATAACACGCTACCTAAGACCGTTAACAAGTGCTAATAAAGATAACTAAAACAGTAGCAAGCTAAAATTACTCCGATCATACATAAACATAACCATCCAAAAGCACAAGTTGCCGACATAGCTGTCCAGTATTTAACACCCACCTTCCGTGCTGCTTCCGTCAGAAGAAGTCTCCGCCTGTCTCTGTTTTGGATTGCTCGAGCCTGCTCCCTTTGTTGCACATATCATGGCCAACTTCATCATAGAAGGTAGAGGCTGGCTGACGTTCGTATGAGTCTCAATTGGCTGAGTAGTTGCCAATACCAAGCCTTGTGCTGCATCCAGCTCTGTTGAAAAATGCATGTAGTCAACGCCAATTATATTACATTAATTTTTGCATCATTTTATCACTCACCGTTGCATGAGGGCTGAGTGAGGGGACCAATGTCTGATTGGGATGATCCTGTGAAAGAGCCATCGCTGTCATCGATGCCATCAGGTGATGGGCATAACCCCAATGAATTCCAAAACCGCATATCATTGATTAGGCCCTTGTTCGCGGGTTCGCGCACCTTTTGCTGCTCGCTGGTTTCTTCTCCTATTCGTGTCCCACCTTGAAAAAAATTTAGTATAGCATTGTCTATAAATTTCATTATCCATCTAAATCATAAACATTTAAATGTAACTATATTGTTAACCGGCTAAACGCATCCAATCTATTTTTTGCGTACCTTCACCCATTACGGCTTGTTGTTGCTGCTGCTCCTTTGGTTGTGTAGACATGGTGGCCATGTCCATACCAACCTCACACGTTACTGGTGGTGCACCCCCCTCAACCACTGCTCCGACTACCTCTGTTTGATCCCCGGCTTGAGCTTGGAAAGAGAAACATTTTTTTTAGGAATTTCAATTAGTTAGCATGTTAACTATACAGCGTAAACGCCTAAGCTACAAAATAACATGTTAAACACTTATAATAGTTCGGTGCCTCACTCACCAGCTGCTGTATTTTCGTCGATCCCTTCACCCAATATAGTTCTATCTTGCCCCAACGTTGGTGGATCTGGAGCAGTTGTCACGTCCATTCCAACATCCCATAGAACTGAGGGAGCTCCCACCTCGGCAACAGAGCCAACCTCGTTTCTATCAAGAACGGTCACACCTTCAAACAAAACAATTACAAAATGTCAGTCAATTTCTCTTAGAGGCTAAACATCCTTCATTTCGTGGAATTAAATTAATTAGCTATATAACAATATCACATAGATCTATCAATTACCATTTGCTACACGTCCTTGCGCGCCTTCATCCATCTCGGTATCATCGTCATCTAACTCGATGATCTCCCTCGTAGGTTGTACTCCCTGGCTTAGGTTTGCCATATAGTTGTCGGCGAAAGCCATCTCCAACGACACTCGGTGGAAGAGACGCAAACTGTCTTCCGGAAACAAAGCATGCATGAATCTTTGGGTCTGTGCTTGTCGGTTACCAAAGACCAAACCTGTTTCATTGCAAAAACAAATAAAATTAAACATCCATTAGTAATATTTAACAACTAAAGTTGTTGTAGCATATTTAGTGTGATCTTTCTTACTTTCGTAAGCAGCTCGTGTGTTATCGTTTGCTGTGTGATCAAAGACGTACATTACATTGCCTATAGCAAAATTTGTACGGGTGTGAAACTCGTAATCAGCAACATCTATAGGACCCATTGTTATTAGGAGAGGGAGCTCAATCCCACATGCCCCTCCATGGAGAAGCCAAGACAACACAGCTGTGCATGAGATCGTGGTAGGCGGTGTCCGGTTACCGGATGGACCTAGTAACCCAATGGGAAGTCGGTGAGTAATGACTAGTGGGGTATAAGCACTTAGACCGTATCGCTGCCTTATCAGCTGGTCAAGGGTATCGTAGCTGACAGTCTTATAGACGACCGCCCTGTAGCCTATGTCGGCTGGATCTGTCATGAACTCCCACTCGTCTTGACTACTCTTCTTCCATTGCCCTCGCCAAAATCGCACACATCGTACCATCTGAGCATAGAAAACACTCATATTTTAGAATTTATATACTGCATGCAACGATTTTTTCACCACAATAAATGTTAGCCATCAACCAATTTGTGTTGCCAAGAACCAATTTTAATTTACATCATATGATAACATGCGAACTTTAATATCGATTACACACCGTTATTATTATATAGTGTTATATATAGATATATATGCTCATGCATGTGCGGAAGAATCAAGGGAGAGACTACACTGAATCAAAATAAATGCAGATTGAAGGCGATGACGATGATCAACAATTAAATAGCACAACTAAATGTTCAATTAAATGAAATCAAAAATAAATGCAGCCGTAATCGGCTTCTATAGCACCGAATAAGACAGAAATTAAATACAGACACAAAAACGACAATCCAAAACAGAAGGAATCATATTTACTGCAGTAGACAAGAACATTCCAAAGACAGAAATCAACTTTTTTTTTTGTCTGTCAGAAATAATCACCTTGATGTTTCTGTTGAACTGTAAGAAGAAAATCATCGTTGAGCTTCCTTTTATAGGCAAACCTCGAGTACATCTTTTCCAACGCCTCCCTCAGAAATCCAACTTTTCGCATGCAACCCCAACATCTTTTCTTTTGATCTTCCTGTCCATGCAGCTTCTGTGTCAGATTTCTCTGATTTTCTATTGGTTCTCGATGCAATAACATACACACGTAAAAGGAGTGAGAAAGTTCAATCATTACAAACCCCCTAATTAAAAACTAAAACGTGCTTAGGTTACAACCTAAAGACGGCGTAGCCTAACTTTTCAAAAACAAAAGCTGGAAGGTTAGTTTCGTAATTGCCCCAAAATTCTCATCCCCACATATTTTTGTTTTGTGTAGTTTGCTAAATATGCACTTCTTATAGGATTTAGAGCAAATTCACCCCATAAATTATTGTTTTTGGCATATTACTTTTTAAATTATCTTTAAAAAATCAAGAGGAACCATATCGAAGAAACGGATCAGATGAACATGCGTGGGATTTGAAGAAGATCAAGTTCTTCTTATGTTCTCTTTTCCACTTTGGCCCTATGTGATCAAGAAGAGTCGGCTACCCTATCCTCTTTAAGATATCTTTTTGGTTATTACAAGAGATATATTGAAGTCTTTGAAGAATCTCACTGTTTGTGTCCCTATCCGGAAGTAATAACGAATCCAAATATGTCCATATATTACAACAAAATAAATATATAGTGGGAAAAACTGAAATTAAATCGTTACAAGTCTTTTGTAGAAAAAGCAGAAGAATGTCAAAAAAAAGAAAAGATAACGAAGCTTCTAAATTTCTCTAACAAGGAAAATAAAATTGAAACGTTTAGTGGAGAAATGGAAAAAGAATCAATAGTCTTTTCAGCATCAAGAAGAGAGAACATTACCCATAATAAGCTTCTTTTTCTTGACGGATGCTGACCATGATAATGATCATGATGGCTCCACTATCCCCATAACCTAATCCCTAGTAGCATTATGTTATATATAGTCCCATTGCGATCTTTCTTGTAAATACACAAACCTTCAGCACTGTCCTCTTCTTCACTCTAGTTGTCTTACATAAGAAGAATCACAAAGAGAATTAATCTGTTTCAAAGTGATCAAGAGTATAATCTTTCACAGTTATTAATGGAAGGTAAAGGACGAGTCGGATCATCAACTTCTTCTTCTTTAACCGCAGAACTCTTCGGCTCTAAAGATCCTTCGCCGCCATCTTCTTCCTCCGGAATCTTTTCCTCCATTTTCCCTCATCCTTCTAAGGTCATATTACTTTCCTTTTTTGCAAACTTTGTTTCTTGAGTCATCAGAATGATTCTTGAAGCTTAACCTTCGGTTTCTTGATTTGATTTCTCAGGGCGTTGCAAGAGATGACCCGAGCTACAAACATGGCTCACAAGGTCAGTGAGAAACAAAAAATTCTTTCTTCATCTTAATTTGCTCACTTATTCTTCTAAAGTTGGCTATATTTTTCTAATAATATGTTTTCTTACACAGCTCAACGTAGAGAATCTTCAACTGCGCAAGAAGACAGAGTTGAGCCATGTCATCTAAGCTCTTCTCTTTACTACGGTGGCCAAGACGTATACTCTCGATCCACCACCAACCAAACTTACCCAACAGTGAGTCTTCATAATTTTCACCTAAACTTGGCTAATCGCTTTCAATAAATAAATAATAAACAGAGCACTTGACTGATAAGAGAAACCATTTTTCAGGTAAGAAACGAGCGTCCAAGAAGTGGGGAAGACGATGCTCATGGACAGAACTCACAAGATGTTTCAAGAGGAAACTGGTGGCAAGGTTCACTTTATTACTAAAGAACCAGTTCCTTTAGTTTCTTTGTACTAATTATCTACCGAACCAAGGCTTTGTATAAATAAGTTTATGCAGAAAATAGATACTTTATTAAGAGAATTTTAAGCTAAAAAAAATCTCCGAGCAAATAGATTGGTCTAATCAATTGTATCGGTGCTTACTCTACTCATGCTGTCTCAAGCTCAAGAAAAAAATCTTTAGCATTTTACAAAACGCAAACGCGTGACCAAACCATACATCTTTTACGTAGAAACCAGTCTTATACTATTATTCTTTGACCGGATTACCAAAAAATGATTTTAGCCGTTATTCCATAAATCTCTTTTAACCGGAAACCAAAGCCTGTTACACTACTCTTCTTCTTGCACAAGAAGAAAAAAAATCTCATCTTCCGTGCCGTCTCAAGCAAAGCAAAACGCCGGACAATGACCTTGTGAGATTGTACTCAAACGACGACGTTTTATTTTAAAACAAACGTTAAAAAACTGACGCCGTTGCCGGTGATCGAACCCGGGTCACCCGCGTGACAGGCGGGAATACTTACCACTATACTACAACGACATTTTTGATAGAAATCATATTGTAAATAAGATAACAAAACAAACTGCCCTACACAGAATGTCTCAACTCTCATGTATCTACGTACAGTTGTATAGATGTACCACAAATGGTTTCTATAGCAATGCCTGAGAAACAATTGTAATAGAAAAAGGTATTTATGATTGCAGCCCATAAAAAATATGTTAGCGTTAGAAGTTTGATTATCTCGTACTCAAAGTCTAATTTATATGGTTGATGGTTGTTAGATAAAGGCTTTACCATCAAGGGATATTAAACCTGCTTTCTTGTAATAAAAATAATTATTAGCGAGTAAACGTTGCAGTATCGGAAAAGAAAGCAATATATATTCTCATATAAAATGTGAATTTTAAAAGCAATATTAGCTAGTGGTAGTAGGAACTTTTATATAGTAGTTATACAGTTATACCAAGAAAAAGTATGCATACTTACGCTTGGACAGGTCTTTGAAGGTGAACGGTGAACCTAATCTTCCCTAACTTTTGTTACTTCAAAACATCGCATAGAAAAAAAGAAACAAATACTATATCTTTTTTTTTGGTAAACCATACTATAATCTTGTCTCTGAATCAAACATTTCAACCTGCATGTGTTGACTTATACCACATTAATCCCAAATAAATCACGTAAACGGTTAAACCAACATGATATGTATGTTATCATGGGCTTCTGTTCCTATTCAAAAGAAATAGTGGGAAACACAATATAAATAAGTACTTGTTTCAAAAAACTGGTTTGAGATATGAAATCGTATATTTTATATGGTTGACAATCATAAAATATATATGTCTATGACTGTAATGGTTGATAATGGAATCTTAATTTAATTGGGGCAATCTGGTTATAGTTAGCAGTTCTTCAATGATCAGATGTTAGAATATGAATAATATCGTGTGTCCTACCTACCAGAATGTGAGGGATACACGACACATAACTTATAATATTAGAAGTTATACTGCGAAATTGTTTTTGAAATAAATTTAATTTCATTGGAAAGAAATGAACTTAGTATTTTCAGTCGATCTGGTCATGACAAGCTTTCTTCTCTGTGTTTTTTTTAGTTTTTTTTTTTGGACAATCCAGAAATATCAGGCGAGCCAAAATCAAATCAATTAATTCCTTAGAGACATGTTTATCGGTGTCAAACAGACTTAGTTGTTCGTAATGGAAATTAGATATCTATGTCACTTGACTAAAGAAGATGACATATTTGAGATGATAAATTTTAAACCTGGGATATTTAGCATGTTTCCAAATCCACCGTACCATTCACACACGATTGTGTGGTTAGTAATTAGTTTCATCTTCATCTTTATTCTTATGATTTCGTACTTCTTGTCATGAAATGGATATTCGATTAGTGAAAAAAAATGTAATAGATTTAAACAAACTCAGTTAATTTTTACGTTGTACATATGGACTAAAGACCATAATATATTAAAGATCTCATCAGAATGACATATTATGGATTTACCATGATCTTTGAAAAATCATGGTTCGAGTTTTCCACTTCGAATTCAATTGTGATTGACAGCTATAGATGCCTTGATTAGCAAGAAATCCCTACTTTTCCCAGGCTCTAGAGAAGAATTTATATTTTAGCTGAGAATTACTCAACCATTAGAAACTATAACTTTATATAGCAAGGACATGATTTTCTCAAGAAATACACATTTGTAAACTAGTTCAGCAGTGAGTGGTAGAGTGGAGCTCTATCTTTCTTCACTTGAAGATCAAAGTATTGTATGAGGTTAAGCGTGGCAAGAATCGTTATTTCTTCAACGTTTCAGTTAGATACTTGTTGAGTCTAAGAAATCAAAGCCTATTTCGTCCTTTGCTGCAATTCGATTTGTATACTCATTCCATTTTGAGTAATTGTAAGATTTTTACTTCGAGGTTAGTGAACAATTTATAAGTCGTCACTTTCAACTTTCAAGACGTATGGTACTGGCTTGGCCGGATTATTTTAATGGTTTAATGTTGTTGTTCACTCGTGAAAAAGTTCAAGAAGAAAAAAAGTTATTCAGAAGCACCAAACGTCAACACTGGTTAAAAAATTGTGTACGTTGTTTTTGAAATTTTGTTTACTAGTTCACCAACTTTGTATTAAATAAAACCAACAAATATCACAAATCAAAACTTCCAGTTTCTACAAAGTTAATTTGGGACATACCATCATAATTAATTTGAACAGTAAACATGGCATAGAAACTTTAAAACATCGGTAGACAAATTTTAAAACTATAAATAGCTAATTGACAGGTAATGACTGTATAACATCAGTACTATCTAAAATTATCACATATTAGCTCTAAATGGAAGGGAAATCAATTTAAGTGATTACATTGTTATAAGAGAAATGTTTATAAAAATCACCTAAATAGGAGCTTGTTATAAATATATGCATTCATATTTCAAGAAAAAAAAAGAGAGAAAAATACATATGTATATTGTTTTTTCTTTTTAATATAGCTTTCCTTAGTCCTTAATCCTTAATTTCTCGTGACTCGCAACAATTGGCAGGTGATCGTAACGCCTTCTCCATAAAGCTGTCCATCTGTTATCTGTACGGTCTTCTTGTTCCTTCTTTATATATCTTTCAAGTCTTAACTCAAAACTTCTCTCTGTCTCTCTCTCTGGTTAAAGTTCGATTGTTCTGTCTGTATCTATCCAAAGATATTTTCTCTGTTTTTTTTAGACAAAGATTCATCAATATGGAATCTACTGAACTGCAAGACATAGATTTCTTTAGCTCCTTTTCCGACCACACAAGCCCAACTTTCTTCACTCCAACAACAAGCTCCCTCCGATCCGACACCTTATCCGAAGACCCGGATTCACCAAAGCCACAAAACGAAGAAGACGAGTACGTTGCAGAGTTGACTCGCCAGATGACTAACTATATGCTTCAAGACGATGACAAGCATCAGAAGGTACACAACCTTTTTTCTTTAAACCCAAAAGATTCGATTCTCTTATCTTTTTTTTTTTTAATTTAACTTTTTATACCTTTTGATCAGTCTTGTAGTGGTGGTAGCTCTGGCTCTCCGCAATCGACTCTTTGGTCACCTTTCGCCTCCGGTTACAGCAGCCCTATTGGTCCTTCACGTGAACCATCTCCGCCGTTAACTCCGGTGACGGCGTTGGAGACAAAGCCTGTTATGATTCCTTTACAATCAAAACAAGCTTTAATCGATGACCAGATCCGATCTATTCAAGCTAACGTGAGCTCATGTTTAATCATTTATTAATTTACTCAAGAATCTTCTATTTAAAAACAAAAAAAAATCGTCGGCTATATAATCAACGGTTTAGAATCAACCTTAACGAAAAGAGTTTCTTTAGCACCGTCGGATGCATTATATTTTTAAATAAAAAGTTTCATGTTAAAATTTTCTTCTTTATATAGTTCCATAAGATCAAAAAGGAGAAAGAGAAGCAACGTAAAGATGACGTATTAGGAGACAAAGCAAGGCGCAACCACCACCAACAGAGACCAAGGTCGGGCGTGAAGGCGGTGTTCGTTGACGGGTCGAGTTCGAGAACCGGGTCGGGTGGAACTGGAGTGTTCTTGCCGCGTAGTCATGGTACTGTCGTGGAGACACGCAAGAAATCAGGTTAGAGCCAGTAGTACCAGCAGTAATGTCATATTATTTTATCATTATCAACAAATCTTTTTATTGGTTTTAAAAAAGGTTACGTATGATCAAGGACAAAGTAAAGAATTAAAGATTGAATGACGTCGTCTTAGTACTTTGAGATTCCTACTTTGTTTTTTTTGGTTGACAAAGTGGGAATCTTGTGTTTATATTAGATTTAATAATTTCATTATTACTTCCCTTATAATACACACATATAAACCACTGGAAAACATTTGAGTTAGTTACAGTTTTGGATCAGATGTTATGTTTAATTAAATTTAGCCTCGTGACAAAAACAAAACAAAAATGTTTAAATTTAGATAGTGTATATTTATTTTTCTGTGGTCGACGAAATGGATACGCTTTCAGATCCCTGCCATGCACTTTCAGAATCAACTTTTGATGTTCTACAAATTCCATTCGTTCTTTCATTTACTCAAAACGGTTTTGTTTTTCTGAGTAATTATAGTTAATCTGAAGCGTTATTCAAAACTTGCCACAAGAATAGTTTGGATTGGAATGGTTAATAGTCGGAATAAGATTAGGTTGGGTTAGTTAGCTGGTTGAGTATCAATCATCTCAAGCTCAGAACTCAATTATTTAGGACAAACTATATAATAAGAATCTTTTTCTTACATTATTACATTATTTGACTTGAGTAGATTCCAAAGATTCCTTCTCACCTATTAATCTTTTTTTCTTTAACATTTTGTGTGGATGTAGAGTTTGACAGATATACGCTCTTCAATTTAGTCCCCTTCCCTTTCAACAAAAATAAACCA